TCGAGGGATGTCCGTGTTGCATACATTCGAAATTGAAGGCGTTCTAGTTTTCTTATTGGCATCACTTGACTTACAATTCCTCGTGCTCACGAGATGTTTATAAGCGAATAATCGAAAAATTTGGGGAGTTGTCTTGCTCATACGGCGTTTTTCCCTTTTTTCTGTGTCAAACTTAAATTCCAAATTTTCGACTTTACAAATATTGCTCGACTGAAAATGTATTCTACCGTGGACTACGGTACTTTTCCTCGCGGGCGGTCAAATATGAGGAAAATAGCCTACAAATCATTTAAATTAATATGGTAGCGCTAAAAGTTTACTTAATCCGTTTAAGTATGGAATCCTGCCAACCACTCTCAACGAACGAATCCTTCCTTTCTCGAGAAACTTAGTCCCCTCTTGTTAAACTCGGGACAACTTGCCTTTTAGCTCTAGTAAATTTTTTCGATAGAACATCTCGATGTTGCTAATTCTTGCTATAGAGGTACCGCAGACACAAGTTCAAATGTGAGACCATAGCTAGAAGTTACGGTACTAATAAAGAGCAATGTTAAGTTTACAAAGTGTTCCCCGTTTTTAACATTCTAACACTTCTTTTTACAACTCCCTCTTTTCTCCTCCTTCTTCTCCTTTTTCATCCCCTTCTTTCGATGTTTAATGCGTCTAAATGTTAGAAATCCCACGATCTGAGTCTGTTGGACCAGAGCTAAGAATCTGTAAGTTTACCCGGGGGTAGGAGGCGGAGCGAGAGGTTTGTCACGGGGAAGAAAAGGGCAACCAGCCCCCTTATTAAGAAACTACATAAGGCTGAAACGTGTCTCTAATTCCGAAGACAGCCGCGAGTGTTCCTCGCTCGGGATAGTAGCAGAGAGGGGGGGAGGGGGGGGGTCGTTTTTTCGGGGTGTGCTCTCACTCCCCCCTTCTCACCCCTCTCTCGCTCCAATTCCTCCACCACCCTCCCGCGAGATTCGCGGCGGCGTGACGAGAGGGCGGCAGGGATAAGCGTTTGCAGAATACTCCCCATCAATAAAGCTTAATTGGGCCAGATTTTTATGCTATCAATAAAAGCGATGCTCTCGGTCTCTTTTCGACTGAGGAATAACTTTTACGACTCGGGACGTTATTGCCGCGGTATAAAGCATTGTCTGCGGCTCCTCGCCGCTCTGCGCTTTGAGCTCTCCCTGCTCGCCTACTGCTCCTCGCCGTTTTACGCCTTGATTCCCCCGCGCTTACGCCGCGGAAATTATAACCGCCTACATTTTTTATAGCGTCTTTATTTACTCACGTATCGTCTCCGTCGAGTGTATAAAGCCGCATTGCCACCTCGCCCGCCCCGCCTACCGCGCCGGCGCACGGTGGATCGAGTCAATAGGAGAGTCAGACAAAATTTGGAAACTTTAAAAGCTTGTAACTCCGTTTGTACAAAACTTTGAGGTTCTAAAAGTGGCTCTATTGGTTTTCTCGTGAAATTTTGTATTCGAAACACCCCTTATAACGTAAAATGTGACTAAATATACATCAAAATTTGCAGTTTAAATCAAAAACTAGGGGCTTATGGGGCTGCTTCGCAGCCCCTTATTTTTCCTGTACGCTTTTCACTTTCACATGTTTTTTTTTTTTTATTTATTTTCATTTAATTTTCTGTTTTGTCTTTGAATCGGGTCTAATTATTTTTTTGAGAGAATAAATATAACAAATGTTTTCAAAAATTGTAATTTTATTTAGTAAACTTTAAACTAAAATTTTGTTTTAATCTTCATACAAAATTATTTTTTAGGTTTTACATTTGTTTTCAAACTAATTTTAAAGAAGATCTTTTTTTATTTTTTAAATACTTTGCTTTTTTTTCGATTAAATTGTTGATTCTTCTTTTGCCATTTCTGTCCTGCTTTTCTTCCTATATTTCCTACAACTTTGCTCTTCTTCTTTCCTCCTTTTGTCTTTTCTTTTTTTGCTTCTTCTTTTTCTTCTTCAGTAGCTGTTCCTTCTGGTTCTTCTTCTTTTTCTGCTCCTGTTTTAACTTCATCTAATTTTTCCGCTTTTTCTTCTTCGTTTTTTCCATGTTCAGTCTGCTTTCTGGTTCCGGTAATAAACTTACCTATATATGGATCCTTGAACTTTAAAGCAATAAGGTCCATCACCCGGAATATCAATTCGATTTGCAGAGAAAGAGGCAAAAGCAACAGCACTATTATAATTTCTGATATGCTTTATGAAATTTTGAGAATATAAAAATAATGATTTCAAATCGGTATTTGTCCGAATACTCGGTAAAGAAATTAAGCCATTTTGGCAGCAGTTATTAAAATGACCATTGGACATTTCACCCTGAAAATGGCGAGCATCACAATGATGACAAATTATATTCATTGAACCGACTGAAAATTTGGTAACAAAATTTTCATCAAAGTTCTGATCATCAATTTTATACTTCCGAAATGAAGAAATGAAACTTTGATTTTCTATACTAATAACAGAGTTAAGTTCTTGCTTCACTAAACGAACATGCAAAGAATTCTGGAAAACGCGACCACGTTTTGGAGGACGACCGCCTCGGTCATTGAAAATTTCACTCATAACAACTGTTAAATTTAAAATTAAAATTAGTAAAAATTATTATTATTTTAACAAAATCATAACTGAAAAGTTCAATTTTTAAATTAAAAAAAATAAATCAGAAGAAAAAGGATGAAATGAAAATGGAAATTAATAATAAACATATTTATACACATTGAAAAGAAACAGCGTGAAAAGTTCTGATCGGAAATGAGAAAAAAAACTTGGAGGTTATTGACTTAATGAGGAAAAATTGGCAATAGGAAAAAGATGGAACCAATCATGAAAAACCGTAAAAAAAAAAAAAAAAACGCGGGAAAAGAAAAATGTAAGTTGATGGCAGTTGAGTGTTGGAAGTAACCTCACTTAATGATGATTGTTGAATGAAAACAGCTGATAAAAAGACAGCAAACAGTAAAGTAAGATGCGTAGCAACAAAACTTTTCCGAAAAACAAAAAACAAAAAACCCCCACTTCCCCTCATCCAATTTATGAGTTTTTAGGGATTTAAAAATCGGGGACGAACCCCAGAAAATAATTTATAGTTTTCCCGAAGCATTGAGAACAACACTTTTCAAATGAACCAACGCCCCTCGCAATTAGTACAGTGGTTGATTCACAATTTCATTCTATTTTTCAAATTAGATATTAAGATGTCATGTTCGACCTCTCTGATTGACTCGATCTACTGTGCGGCGTCATCGCCCAGATTCACTCATCCTCCATCTAGATTTCACGCAGATTATCCTCGATGGCTCTTCATCAACAATGACGTTACAGGATCGCCATCGCCACGTCAATTTGGATAGCGGCAAGTAAACTTCTCTTATCCACATTAAGAGTACAAGGNGGGGGGGCTATGTGCATGCAGTGTAGGATCGGTGATTTAGGTTAGATGTGGACGTATGAGGAATTAAGAGACCGATATTCATCCATGGTCCTATTAAACTATGTGGTTACTTAGGTGTTTTTAACAATCTTGTAGATATGACCCCTTGACTATCTGCAGCCTGATTGTTGAAATTTATGTCGGCACCACAAGAATCAAAAATCGATATATTACACGCCGCAGATAGGGCTATGCCTTGTCTTGCAGTGCCGACATAGCCAGTTAAAGTTTCAAAAATCCGGCTGCTGGGCTGCATAAAGCAACCACTATTTTTACCACATCCATAGAAGCACTTGTCTGCATAAAGAATCATATGATGACACATATGATGGTTTTAAGATAAACTGAATTAGTTATTCCTTATCGAAAAATATAATCTTGCGACATTCAGCTCTTATTCTATAATTTATTCGAAAGAAAGAGAATCAAAGAGAAGTCTCATTCAATTAGAGTATCCTCAATATTTTCTTTAAAGAATAGAATACTGAATTGTGAAACCTTCATGTCAGACATAATGCCTGAGTCTCTTTGCATTAATAACATGTGAAAAGAAGAGTTGGAACATTGCAGTCGAATTGCACAGTTTGTCACAACTGGAAAAGTATGGATTGATAAAGGCTTTATCTGATCAAGGCCTCTGTCAAAATTAACAACTAGGTACTTGAAGTTTTAAAACTCTCCGTGAATGTACCTTAAATATTGAGGATATATTAAAGAAAGTTTAAGTTTCGGAGTTGCCTCGTTTTCTGTATGAAAAATAAAACATCAAGGAAATTAGGCAACGTCTAATGAAGTAAGGCTGATTTTGGTCAAATTTGTCCAATTATTTTGAAGATTTTTCAGAAAAACGTGGAGAAAATAAAATAAACAATAAAACAGGTTTTCGTGATATTACTGCACGTCCATGACAAGGGTGCGAAAAAAGTAAAACACAAAAAAACCTGGCTCGCCTCTTCAACATCAGTAATGCGCTGGCATTTTCCAAATTAACGAACAAACTAGTGCTCGAGAAGCATTAACTTCTCAAGTCGGGTTCGCTCGGAATCAGTTAAGTAAATTTATTGAACCGCCGCGCCGCACCGGAGACCAGAGTTCCCCCACCTCGCAATTCTTTGCTAAAAGTTTACTAATGTTTTCAAGTGCCGAGGGAGAAAAATTATTTCTTACACAAGCTCTTTAAGACTGATTGAAAAAGCTCTGTTTCGTCTCGGGAGAGGGAGCGCCACGATTCTGAGAAGCTTTTCTCGGAACTTGATCAGCTGCTATTGCAAAAAGTTCCCCGCGGTCTGCGGCTGAATTGGGCAAATTCAAACAAGACTATGTACATGCTCAAGTTCTGTTCTCTTCTCTTTCTTATTCTGCCTCTTTTAAACTGTCATAGGACATATTTCTATCAGCAAGCTATTAGAAGGCAAATAAAATAGATTGCAGCTTTCTTATTTTATTTTTAACTTTAAACTTTCATATTTTATATTTTATGAAAATGGATATGTTTGTTTATTAAATCTACTGATTTACAAAGGACAAGTGGGAAAATGGTAAGAAGTAAACTCACCCTAGATTTTCCTCGGCCAGCGTATTCTTGGTTCCCTCCGTCGGTTCCGTATCCACCGAAATTGCGCTGAGGGAACTGCAAAAACAATTGAAAAATTCAAGAATTACAGCGTGTTCAAAAAACAAGTAATTTTCGTTGTGCGGTACGTGTTCTACATGAAATGGTTACGAAACGTGTATCAGAATGCTGAAATTTGTGCCTTGTCTACGGGTCCATTTCACCTAAAGCTCCTGAAAATTTCAAGTAAGAATATTCATAACTTTCCTTAAAAATAAATATTTTATCGAAGGAAATTTGGCAACTCTCGAATGTTCATACGGCGTTCTTCCTTAGCCCGGCAGCGTACAAATCGAAAATCCGCTATTCACACGGGGACTGAGGCGGGCCGCACCGCGGTAATATCGTCACCTCTCCAACGTAAAGACGTATCTCGAATTCCGAATGAGCCCCGGAAAGCATAGCATTATATGGAGAACAAGGCTCACGTGAAAATTGAGATACGTCCTTATGTCGGAGAAGCGGCGCTATGCGACACTATGCAGTCGTCGTGTCGCAGAGGAAAATCCCGTGCTCCATCGATATTTTGCCGCCCCCCAAGCTGTTTCCGCTTTTGATTTTTGAAGGCGCCCGGATTTAATTCTCCGATTGGATTGTCTTGATGTGTTTCACGCACCCCTGAGCGATTCCCTCTCTGTTTTGCCCGAGCCGCGATAGGAACTCGATGCGAGCGATAAAACAATTTAAATAAGCTCTGTTACCGATTTAATAAAGCGAACACTCCCATCATCTCTCGCGTTTCACGGATTTACTCCCACCTACACTCCATCTTCCCGCGATTTATTTCTCACTGTCTCTTTCTCGTCCAATCGATACTGGGACATCATGAGTGCTGAAGGGGGAGAAAGAGGAGGACTTCAGAGGCAGTTCCTCTCGTGCATGTGATACTCTGTAACTTGAGGTGAGTTGAGGGGTCTGGAGGAAAATTTTTCCTTTTTTTGGGGGGGGGGACAATTTTTATGTTGAATAGAGGGGCTTGGAGGACAATGCGCAAAAATGCAGTTTTTAGAAAAATTGAAATGATAATGATTTCATTTAAAGCTAGTCTTCACACATATTCTGAGAAAAAATCCGATTAAACCGCTCGCTCACACAAATGTTTTCCTCCTGTGTAATTTTCTCATGACTTCAATTGAGGGACTTTGATGACGAGTCGCATGAGTGCAGTAGTTGGAACATTTTAATGATTTCAAGTAAAACTAGTCTTAATGCATATTCTGAGAGAAATTCGCTCGCAAATTATAATTTTAAGCATTAAAAAGTCAGTTTGAATTTTCTTTCCGTCATAAGGTTCCATGTAATTTCAAAACTTCGAACCCGTCTTTCTCGAAGTAGCAAAAACTGCACTTATGCGCCTTGACCTCCAAGCCCCTCAGTTGCGGCACTCGTTTCAAAAACATTTCAACATAACGTTGGCAGTCATTGAGAGATGTAAAAATTTGGTGTCTCAACGACCGAAACACTGTGGATGAACAAAACTAATCGTTATATTGAATGAACACAACTTTCTATTTAGTGTCCCCCTATTTGTGTTGGGAAGTATCAGTCACGGTTCGGAGCGCTCGCAGGCCAATCATCGGGGCCGACTCGAGAATTTTCATCTTGAGGCACATTTTGCCGTGCTGTATCATATTTTATAGGACAAAATTTGGCAACCAGTGGCGAGGCGTGCTTTGCGATCTATGGATTTTCCCTCTATCTATATGGATTATGGAAGCTGTGGTAAATAATCGATTATTAAGGTGTTCACTGCGAGCACCCTGCTTATCGATACTTTTCCGTACGTTTAAATGGCCGATCAATCGATACATTGCAAAGCACGCCACGCCGCTGTTCACCGAAAAAAAATTCTCGGCGTTTTTACCAAGGTCCGTTGGTACCTTTACCATCTCACTTTTTTTACCAATTATTGGTAATTTTACCAAGACAGGCTAGTAAGCTTACCTAAAAACCGGGATTTTTACTGTTTTTTTCAGGTAAGAATACCACTTTTATTGGTAATCAATTCCAGGTAACTTTGCCATTTTATCTCGGTAATTCTACCACAGTCGATAAGAAATATTGGCGTTTTCACCAAGGTCCAGTAAAATTACCGAGAAAGTTCAAAAATTTTACCGAGATTTCTCGGTAAAATTACCAATTCCATAAATGGTAATTTTACCAAGGAAAAACTGGGATCAAATAGAAGCCTAAATTCTTGGTAATTTTACCCTTTTCTTAGTAAATACACCGAGATTTTTTTTTCAGTGTGGCAACATTCGAATACTCATACGGTTTTTTCCAGAGCCCCTGAAGCAGGTGGTTCCAGATCGATCCGACACCGAGAGGGCGTCCTCGCGATGAGAGAATCCGGGAGCACCCGATCCCCCTCTCGAAAGGGGAACGGAACGGAACGGAACGCACGGGAACGGAATTGTTTCCAAGTCGGCTCAGCGACGGCGGAGGTATTTTTAGAGCCCGCGCCGCTGAGCGCGAATAATTATTTGGGAAGTTGTAAAGCATGCATTTCCCGGCACAAAGAATCCGTAATAAAGTTTTCGAGTGCTTATAATGTGCCACCTGAGCTTCCGTGGAAATCTCGCGAGGTGGGTGACGTCGCTAACGGAGGAGGCTTTGTCCCGCCCCCGGCTTAGCACGTTCGATACGTTCGCTCCCGTTCGGTCGGTGACAATCATGTCGGGAATAATGCGTGTGTCTCCCGCGTCACGGGTGTCGCGTCGCACGGTGGATCGAGTCAGTAGGAGAGGTCGGACGAACTTCGGAAACTTCAAACGCATATAACTCCGTTTATACTAGAGTCCCTTTATACTGAGAGTCAAGACAACACCCCCTCATGGAGTCACAAACGGGAATAAATTTTACACCAATTGAACGTTTTTCGTAATCTTTGATCGCCCATTCTCAAATTCCTTTCTCCGTTCCTTCTTCTCATTATCATTCCTTCATTTCTGTTCTTCAAACTTTGGAAACTTCAAACGCATATAACTCCGTTTATACTAGAGTCCCTTTATACTGAGAGTCAACTCAACACCCCCTCATGGAGTCACAAACGGGAATAAATATTACACAAATTGAACGTTTTTCGTAATCTTTGATCGCCCATTCTCAAATTCCTTTTTCTGTTCCTTCTCTCATTTTGTTTGTTCCTTGCCGAACCCGTAATTCCTCGGTCTATTCCAGATTATAATCTTTGCAATTGGTGAAAATGTAATCTTTATTCCCGTTCGTGACACAGTGGAGGCCTAATATACGGTGACCAATCAGAAATGGATTCACATTTTCTTGACTCTCAGTATAAGGGGACTCTAATTTATACAAAACTTTGAGTTTCTAAAAATGGTTTCATTGGTTTTCTCGTGAACTTTTCTTCTTGAAGCACTCATTGAAATTTAAAATGTGACGAAATAAACATCAAAATTTGCAGTTTTGATTAAAAAATTCATGTCCGACCTCTCTCATTGACTCGATCCACTGTGCGTCGCCTGTAATTGTTGCTCTCTGCTTTCCCCTTGCCGTCGCGTGGGAAGTCTCAAGAAAAGCACGCTGCGGCTTCGGGGTAAATGCACGCGTTTTTCCATTACCGAGGCTCATGACAGCTTCAAAATCAGTATCAAGGATTTTCCGAGGAGTTTCCACAGGGAGAATCATGAGATTGTAAAGATGTTGGAGAGATAAAATTAACATGTGGCTCGAATACTATGTGGGGGAGCTCATAGTCGTTATTTACATTGTTCTTTTCTTCAAGAGACCCCACCTTGTTTACATTGTGCTTTTAAGCAGATCCTACACAACATCATAAAAAGGATGATATTAACAAAGCTTAAGTAGAACTCGACAGCATAACTTCGAAAAAAGAACCTTGCAGAATATTACTGATTTTTCACTTCAGGAAATAAAACAAAAAAAAAATCCAGAAGAAAAAATTATATAATTTCGACAAACTCGCTCGTTTTCCCCCGAAATAGACTTTGCGCAATTTCCTCCATACTGAGGAAAACAATTTGGCAATGTGAACCGAACGTACGTTGTTCAATATCGACCGTATTATTCGGTTCAAGCGATCGCTCTCTCGGTTCGCGCAACCGAGCTTTTTCGTTAGTTCTGTCCGGTTGAAATACTCGGTTGCTTGAATTGAGGATATGGTTTCCAGAACCGAGAAAGTGTCGCATAAACCGAGGATATGGTTCCCAGGACCGAGAAAGCAGTCGCATGAACCGAGGATATGGTTTCCAGGACCGAGAAAGCAGTCGCATGAACCGAGGATATGATTTCCAGAACCGAGAAAGCGACCGCATTAACCGAACAATACGGCCGACATTGAACACCGTACATTCGGTTCATACGACCGAAGTTTACTTCTCAGTGCAGAACGTCTCAAATATATTTATAGAGTAGCGAGAGCAGTAGAATGATCGGAGAGGAACGGAGGAGAGGAAATTATTTCGAGCGCCGTGGAAATAGGACGAAGCATGAATCATTAGGAAATTTAAAGGGGGAACCGCCAGCTCTTTTACTGATTACGGAAAAAAGTTCGAGGAGCGGGTAATTATAGAAAGATAAAAAACTTCCGCTCGAGGGAAGAAAACCCCTGATAGCGAGGCGTTCAGCTCACATTTATAGCCAGGAAGTGGCAATAGAGTTTGTGTGGGATGGAACCGAGCTTGAACTTCACCGGTCCAAAAGGTGGTGGAAGTGCGGGCTAACATCTTCTTCCAAACGTCCCATTCAGATGAGTGGAAGGTGACTTGGAAGAAGTTCGCCAACAGTGCGCCCTTTCCGGTTCATTCAAGTCGCAAGCTCTAAATAAATTATTTAAAGTACGATTTTCTTTCATTGTCATCTTACGGTGAACCTCCGTAGCGGGTGGGTTCCAAGAATTTCGTGACTTCATGAATGGGCGAACTGGATGATTCGGTACTTAAAATAGTCGTGATTTTGCTGTGACTGCGCTATAAATAACGAGAGTACTCATTGATTACTAGAATATTCTTTGATTTTGATGAACGGCGATTATTTCT